TATGAATAATTTAATCATAACATAATAACAGATGACACAATAAATTCAACAATAATTATTAAATAAATTTTGATATAATTATAAAAAGATAATTTAAATTTTATCTTAATCTTATAAAATCTTTATAAAATAAGTATTATTTATCACTTATATTATTATTATTATTATTATTATTATGTAAGGATATAAAAAAATTTAGCCCAAGTTCTTTATTTATAAGTTGGGTCATGATTGTTTTTCACAAGTTATTAAGTAAATTTTTTTCACAAGTCATCTTCAACCCTTCTCTTCTAATAGAGAAACCCTTCTTAAAGAAATCATAATAGGATCGAGCGACCTTAAGAAACAATATGCTTGTGTTGAAACTCCTTTACTATCTTTACTGATTTGAAAATGACAAAAGTTCACTATGATGCACAAGTTCACTCACGTCTTCACTAATTGTGAAAACCCTAAAAACATGTGAGTTCATTCTTCTTTGCCTGTGTCCCAATTTGAACATCATCTGGATTTACTGAGAATTTAGTATGAAAATAAGAAGGAAAAATAATTTGGATGAATTAAGATAGGGATTAAAATGAGACACAGAACAAGAAGAAGGAATTAACTTTTTTTTTGTTTTGAATTTTCACAATTAATAAAGACATAGTGAATTTGTATAATTAATGTGGTAGAAGTGGACAAATGGTCACATCTTATTAGTCCAACTCACAAAGAGTACCAAAACATTTTAATCAAAACATGCATGAAAATAATGGCCATAACAACTATCCCTAATACACTTTTCTCTTTTATTGGTTAAAATTAAGTTAAAATTATAAAATTATGAATGATTCTTTAATTAGAATATAAAAAAGGTAACAATTACTTTTAGTCCCTCTAAAAGTTTTTAAATTTGTTTTGGTCTTCCAAATTTCTTTTTATTAAGTTAGTCCCTCTAAAATTATAACATGTTAAGAGTAGCCCATTTTTGTAACCCCATTAGTGATGGTGTTCTACGTGGAAAAATAAAAACGGCTGTAATAAACGAAAAGCTTTTTTAGTCCCATTAAATAATTTCAAATTTGCTTTTGATCCTCAAAATATTTTTGTATTAAATTAGTTCTTGTAAAAGTAAAACAAGTTTAATTTAATCCTTGACAGATGTTAATTCCATCTTATTTAGGTTGAACAATAGATATAATTAGATCTCTTTTTTTATTATTTTATTTACTATTACAATGATTACATATTTGCTAGTTATTATCATAATAAAAATTATCTACCAATAGAATATATTTTGGTTGTCTACTAATATTAAGCGTGGCATGGAAATCTTATTTTTGATACAATATTAACATTGTCTAATTATATTTATTATAAAATTTTTAGAGAAAGAATTTAAACAAAATGGAATTAACATCTCCTAAAGACCAAATTTAAGTTGTTTTTTTTTTTTCACAGACTAATTTAATATTTTTTTAAAAGGATTAAAAATAAATTTTAAAAATTTTAGAGGGACAATTTTTTTTTTATCTTGTTTGCCACGTGTTTTTCCCATGTATCATATATGACAATGTCATTCACGAACTTAAAAAAAAAAAAAAAGATCAACCTTAATATATTATAATTTTAGAGAGATTAATTTAATGAATAAATAAATTTGGAAAAAAAAACTAATTTGAAAAACTAACTTTTACTTTATATAAAATCTTTGAATTTTGTAACTTCAATAAAATTTAAACAACAAAAAAGTGTTTAAAAGAGTGCGACTAAAGTGTGTTTCCAGCAAACCAATTGCTGAATATATAGTATTCAGAACGCTTATAACAGGAATCAATAATTTTTATTGATATGTTACTTTGCTTACATAACTCTAGTTTACTCATACTACAGCCATAATTTATTCGGAAGAAGCTCTCTATAATATGTACTCAATTGCAGTTCTATACTTTCTTTTCCTTTTCTAATGTTACAATAATTCACAGTAAACTAATATCATATTGAAATGATACAGAAGTTTCGACTCTCAGCATTTACATCAAGTAATTGCAATTGCAAATTATGCTACGGAGCCATTGTCAGAAAACTTATCAACTTGAGTGATGTCAAGGAATGTATGAACTCCACTTGCTCTGAGAAACCTGCAACAGTTGAACAAGCAAAATCAGCAACCAAAATAAAGTTCACATAAATGCTTTTAAAGACATTAAAGTGGCAAAATGACATACTCATCTCTAAAAGCTCTTGCCATAGACAAGCAACCTCCCTGAACAGATGATTGCAGGTTCACAGCAATGTTTGGGTTGTGAATACTCTGCCTCATGTGAACCCAACCATGTTGTCCATGCTCCTCGTTTGATACTTTTGCCCTGAATTCGCCACAACAAAGTCAGTTTCAAGAACGAGACATACATAAATATAAAATCAGTTTTCTTGAACTGCTTGAATTTTCTTTAACTTTTTTCCACCTGTACATTCGAGCATCAACTGGAGCTGGGGTATCATTTGTATCTACGAGGCACCCTTCACTCACCCAACAATCACCACACGAGTCTAACTCCCACCCTTTAATCCTCCCTTCCTGTATACAAAGATATGCTTTTAATCTTTGATAACCAAAATTAATGCAATAAAATATGGAGTTCGATTATAAGACAAAGTACTAACCACACATTCTTTAACACACGATTTCTAATGTATTTCTTTTATAAGTTCAAATTTATTAAATAAGAGTTCACTAAATAAGAAATGAAATTCACTTCTAGTCGTGATTTCTAATAAATTTGAGTCTATGATAAAGAATTTATAAAAGAGTGGATTGATGCATAGTTAGCATCATACATTCATTTGTGGACACAATCTATTTAGCAGGGACTTGTGTTCGATCCCTATCTGATAAAAAAATTGTCTAGTCAATAACAGTTACAATACTACAAGTCTACAAACAAGATTAATTTCTGATCTAGTAAGTTGGAGATACTAGTAGGGGGAAAAAAAGTGTTATTAGCCTTTTTTTTCTTTTCTTATAAGATATAGAATATACCTCAATGTAGTTTCTAAATGTTTCAATGGCCTCCGATCCTTTATCTTTAGCATGTCGAGGTTCAGAGACGATATTTATCCTAAGCTCTACAGATTCATACGGTTCTTCAAGATCTTCTATAAGACTACCAATCCCTTCATTTGATCCCGCAAGCTTCATCCGCACCATTTCAATGATAATCTTCACCACCATGTAAGCCCCTAGATTACAAAACCAGAACACCATGATCAACAACAGCACCAAAGCGTAATGAAAACAACCAAAGAAAAACATGCATGAACATGACTTGAACCAACCATCATCAAGAAAATGATTTTCTTTAAGAGCACCATGACCGGATGTTTCCATCATAAGATGCGTTTCAACTCCTTCCTCATTAAGCTGAACTCCCTTGTCGATGACATTTCGGTACCCAACACGGTATAGGCAATGGTGACCCCCTCTATCAGTTATGAACCTAGTGAGTGCCATGCTTGTGCGTGCATCGGTCACTATGGTTGATCCCGGGTGTTCCCTTAGCACAATGGCTGACATGAGTGCAATCAACTTGTCACCGTTTATGGGGTTCCCTTTGTTATCCACCACACCACTTCGGTCCACGTCGGTGTCGAAAACTATTCCAAGATCAGCTGAGTTTTGTAGCACTGCTGCTCTTGTGAGTGCCATGGCGGTCTTGTCCTCAGGGTTGGGAATGTGGTTGGGAAACATTCCGTCAGGGTTGAGATGCAGAGAGCCAAAGGTGTCTGCACCAAGCTTGTCTAACACATCCCATGTGAAGAATCCTCCTGACCCGTTTCCAGCATTTACTATTATCTGTACATTCATTGCAGTTTTAGTGAAAATATTCTCCAATGAAGCATACGAAAGTTTTAACAGGATGACAGTCCTCTATATTTTATTATTTTTAATTTCATCCTTATACCAAAAACTTATTTTGTATACATGTCATATATTCTCAATTTGGTATTGTTAAAGTTTTTTAAATTGGTCTTTATACATATAAATATCATTAATTTGGTCTTTATCATCATATGTTTATCATTAACTACTTTACACATTTTTAATTTGGTTCTTATAATTGAACTACATTTTTATGGATGACACATTCTTAATAATATACTACATGTATAGCAACTAAATTATATGTATAGAGACTAAATTAAATCGACAAGGATCAAATTAATAATATTTACATTTATAGGGATGGATATAATAAGTTTTTAAGTATGGAGAACATATTAAAAAAAATTTATGGGGAGTATATGAAGAAAATTATATGTTTAACTATAACAACTATGACAGTTAACTAATCACACAATTTCATTTGATTCCCACAGTAATTTATTACTTTAGTAGTAGTATTTTATAATTTGGACAAATACTGCTAATTTTTTTTACCATATTTCTATCGATATTTATATACTAATTCTTCAATATGATGATATTTATTTTTTTAAAAAAATCTTAATAAATATTCTTTTATAGATAAAAAAAAGTACAATAGTTTAATTAAGAAGTTGAATATAAGTGGTTAATATACTGAATTCAAGTTAAATCGTTTGAACAGAGCTCTAATTTAATCTTTTAATAAAAATAATACTTGATCAAACTTTACTTACTTTTTTATTAAACCAAATTAGTCTAAGGCAAAATGTTAGAATACCGATACAAAACAAAAAAAAAGTACAAGAATTTAACTCCTAATCATATATTTAAGAAATTTAATTATATATTAAATACGCACTATATGGGTAAATAATAGTCCTAAATATTGTAGCTGCCAAGAGCCCCGTGTATCGAATATTAAAGGATAAAACATGGGTGGGTTAGAATATACCGAGAGAAACATGTGAAACATACAAACAACAGAAGTCAAACCTCAAATCCTTGGAGTGGAGTGTCATAATGCAAAGGATGATTAATTCTCTCCTTGATGATTTGTCGCAGGTGCTTTGCATAAGTGCTCATAAAATCAACTCTCGTTGGAAGAACACTAAGCAAAGTAGAGACCTTGGCCATCCTATTTGCATATTTACGAGCAGCTTTGTCACATATTTCCTCTACCTCAGGTGAAGTCAGTCCACCCCTCTTGGTAAAAAATTTCAAACCATTTCGGGTGTAAGGCAAGTGTGACGCTGTCATCTGCAGCACAAAATGCATAATTCATTTGAACCATTTGTATCAGGCCTAATTGTGACAACCATCACCACACCTAGAGTAGTTCTAGGCAAGTGGCACTTGTTACAAATTTTTGTAACCTACCATTATTGAAGCATCATAGGCAAATGGAGGCAACAAAGTGCTCATGAAACAAGCTGGTGTGGTTGCTAGTCCCATGTCAAACACCATGCAACCTGCACGTGCAAGACCTGAAAACACTGCAACGCTCAATTTTGACCCTGATATTCGAGGGTCGCGTCCAAGGGACACTCTCACATTCTCCACAGGGTTCCCTCGTTGCTTCTCTAAACCATTGATAACCCACTCCCCAAAACTCTCTGATATTGCCTCAACAGCAGGTGGATTGAGGTCAACTGTTCTGCCTTTCTCACCTTCCAATGCCACTCCTCTAACATCTGAACCATTCTGAAGCCTCCTAATCTTGTCCAACTCTTCATCCACCACTACTTCATCATACTTTGCAGCGCCAATGGATTTCACACGTATGGTCTTGTTGAATGGCACAGAAAATGAGAAGCCAAGTTTGGTGTGCAAAGGTTTCTTCCCTGGTGAAGAAGGAAACTTTGTTTTCTGGGTTTTGTTGTGCAAAGATGTTGAGAAGTTTGGAGCAGGAGTTGAAGCAGCCATTGTTTGTTTTATTTGGCGCTCTTGCCTTGTTTGAACAAAACTCGAGTTTGGGGAGATAAGGTAAACGCAGTAGCATTAAACCATAACCTTACAAATCCAATATCTCAGGAACACAAAAATATCTCTTAACAAACTTACAAACGCCCAAGATTTTTGCACTACTTTTTTTGTCTATATGCCAATTATTTTTGTCATTAATTGATTTAATTCCAGGTTGTATTTTCTTGGTAAAAGGAACACCTGGTACATTCTGGTATATTAATACTTGTGCATCTTAAACGTGTTTAGAAACTTATGGTTATTTGTCATTATTCACTTGGATTGATCAAACACAATTGACCATGTTTATGGCTAGTGTCAAATGAAATACCAAAACAAACTCTAGCAGAATGTATTCTCTTTACAGGGTTTGAAGCAAAGCTTGTGTTATGGACAAAATCTTTATACTAGAGAGGAAATGCTTGTGTTCTTTTGAATCTCAAGATAAACTAATGACACTATATCTCAGTATAGAAATTATATGTAGCTCTAGTTAGACCTTCAAGGTGTCAAAGTCGTGCAGCGATATTCTGTGAAGTCATAGAAAGGACCACAAGAAATTCGCAGTCTCGCCTGTTTCAGGAGAACCATATAATTAATATCTAGTTATCTACTTGGTAGTGGATACATGCTTATTTTTTTTATAAACCATATAAGAAGTTAGAAAATGCATAGAGATACATTTTTAAAGAAAAAGTTACCGTAGTCATATTCAGAAGATGAAAAGTTAAGATTAAAGAGAGATTCTTCTATGTCATGGACGTAACTCATTTTATTCTCCAATGTCAAGACCTATGTGTTATTTAATTACGTGGGCATATATATAAATGAATATAACAATAAATTATTATAAATGCTTTTAGAATACATTTTTCTAAAGTATTTATGTAACAAAAGGTAAATATGCACAAGGTAAATATGATTTTCTTTTTTTAAAAAAGGTAAATATGACTATGAGTATGAAATATTAACACAGGTCTTAAGATTTGGGTTTTAAAATATTTCCTTTGATTTTTTATAGAAACTTTGTAGACAGTTTGTGTTTGGTCCTTTTTATAAGATTATTTCTAAATAATATACTGTATTAATTTTATCTTTTAAAAAATACTCTTAATTATTCAATAATTTTTTATTCAAAATTGTTTCTAGATCATTAACTGTGTTAATTTTATTTTTCACAAAATATATATCCTTAATTATTCATTTTTTTTATATTCAATAAACAATAAATGCAATAAACTAATTTCTCGAATTCTCTTTTTCTAATAAGAATTGGGAATATTAGAGTCAAAATTGTATCATTCTCGTCTTCTCATTGTATAGAATACAAAATATCAATACTTAAGTATAGATGAATCAATTAATTCAATAGATAGAAAATAGATTTGGAGAATAAGTTTCAATAATTATAAGAATAATTCTAAAAAAAGGTTTAAGTAATACATTCTCGATTTTCCTTAAGAAAGGTTTTAGCTTTGAAGAATGTGAAACCGTGTAAGGGGAAAACCTCCACTTAGATGTAATCTTCTATATTTTGAATGCTTACAACTTTAATAAGATTTTCTTTAAAGAATACAGGTAATCTTCAACTAAAAAAAATACCAAAATACATTTTGATAATTTTATTTTGAATTTTAATCATTTGTATTTGAGTAAAAGTTAGACATCTTGATAGAAGTACTTGTGAAGATTGGTATAACAAATGGCTATCATATATAGGGATTAAAACGAACACGCAGCTTCACTTTCGTCCTGTTATTATATATTCATTTTTGTCTCCATATTTGATGAATATGGAATTTGTACTTTATTCCTGTCCTTCCGATATTGTATATACCAGTATTAGCCTTGTATTCACCTAAAAATTATTTTTTTTTGTAAAAAAATATATAAACAAAAATTTCAACTTAAAGTAAAAATTACAAAATCACATTAATTAAATTTTATTGACATAAATTTAAAATAAAATAAAAATTACATAAATTTTAAATAAATTCTTAAAAAAATAAATTAAGATTTTAGAAAATTTAAAGTAGGATAGGGACATGAAGGAATACGAAATAGTTAAATATATACTCATCTTTGCCCACATATCCAATTTAATAAATAAAAAATTATTAATACTCGTATCTTTGTTTAATCAAATCAGATATTTTTCATCAAAATCAGTGTAAATTCAAGCATTATTCATATATTCAGATTTCCTTCCTATCCTAGTCATATGATTGTAATTCTGTTCTAATAGTAGGTTAATTCCTACTCTGTTATAATTGTTGTAGTAGGCAATTGTAGTTGGATTCCATGTATCACTCTCTTTTCATAAATGTTCTAGATTCCCCTTGTATCTATGATCCATCCCCAATTTTAATTCAATCGATTCTAGAGTTTACTACGGATCCTCTCCTTTGGTTTTACCTCTGTGATATGTTTCCCTGTCATAAATCTAGCACTAGATTTCTGATGAAGGTGTCTTCCTACAGTCTCAACAGAATAGGGTCAATTTATCCTCTGCTTGAAGCTAAAAGCTCCTTTGCAAAATTCTCTTTAACTGCTGACTCCTTAATTAATGGCAATATCAAATAAAAAACATTAGAGAAATGATAAGTATTAAGGAAGTGTTTCGGCAGTGACATGTTGCAAATGCTGAACAATTTTTATATTACTATAGATGATTAGTTTAGATATTTCTTCAACTCACTAAAGTTTAGTTTTCACTCCATAACTTACATGGTAACATCAACTTATGATAATACATATCATAACACAAGCAGTACAGAATAAAGCTAAGGCAGGTACACACACACCTAAAAATCAACTTCTGATAAGCCCTTTGAATTTGGAACACTAACCCACTCAATTTCCACTATTATTTCCCCAGACTTGGCATTTCTCAGTCTTAAACTCATCTCTTGGACGACTTTTCCATTTTTCCACATGCAGCTGCTCTCTTCAGCAAGGCAGTTAGTCCTATCTGGATAAACAATCTTGACTACATGGCCTTCTGGGAGATCGTTCAATTCCATCTTCACACAACGAAGATATGGTTTTAAGTCTATTTCTGCATCGCCCATTTTGTCGTCTACAGTGAAAGTGTCTTTGTCTGAAACTGTCTGAATTGAGCAACACAGTTCAGCCATCAAAAGATTAACATTAGGCTATTTTGGTAGGAGAAACGTTGGTGACACTCTCTAACATTCTCTTGTTAATACTCACTTTACTATTGGTTGAAAATTACAATATGATGAATTTTACTACTAAATCAATAGAGACTGGTTAAATAAGATCGTGAGTTATAAAATTTGTGATTTCTTATAAATTTCGGTCAATAATAATGAGTATTAAAGAAAGTGTCTCTAACATTCTTCTTATGATGATACAGCCCTTCAACATTTCTGATGGCATGATATAGATAAACTGTTTCACTACTCACCAGATGTATGGGATTGTTAACATCCTTTACATAAAGTGTCAATTCTTCATTCCACTCAGGATTACAGTTATCTTTCACAACACCAGTTTTTAGTTCCTGCATCAATTTGAGATAAAGTCTTCAGACCAAGCAATTGAGAGCAACAGATAGTATAATTCTGTTAGTTACACAATGAATTAGTTTGTTACTGTTAGTTAATTGTTGTTAGTTGTCAACAATTAGTATAAATAAGAGCAACATGAACATATTTTTACATCTTTAACCAATCAATATGATACCTCCTTAGACTTATTTTCTGTACTTATCCTATGTATATGATCTTTATCCCTCTCATCCTCTGATTACCAATGGAAAGCAAGATTTTAGATTCAACACTATAAATTCTCTATTTCAAATTTTCAATCACTTCTTTAACTTCAAAATGATTTACTTAAAAAATAAGGGATAACACACATTAAGACATTTGAATCTCTTTTTCACACGAACAATACGGCATTTGTTTTCACCTGGAACAATATTTCTTTCAATTAAACACTGTCTCTAGTCTCAATAGAAACCCAAAAAAACCAAATCTAATTAAGACCCAATAATAAAGAATTGAAGATCAAAGTCCTAGCAAGGTTCTATTCTAGGTTCTAACCTGTTCAGCCATGGTGACAAAAACATATGGGTCACTGCTACGAGTATCACAAGCTTTTAGATTAGTGCCTCTTTTGATACGGAGTTTGATAAGACCTAAAACATTCTCCATTGCAGAGTGGCCAAGAAATCACCCGAAGAAGAGAAGTAACTATTTTTATTATTTGCAAAAGAAAGTACAACCTTTGACGTGTTTGAAGTTAGAACTTAGAACAATCTTATTCAATAAAGTTGGACAGTTGGCAACGTTTTCTTAGATGGAAACAATCCTGGTAAAACCACAGAACCAAACTGGTCCCCGACTCAAGGAACTTTACTGATTCAAAACCATAAAGGGGAAAAAAAATAAGGAGAGAAAAAATAATAAAAAAAAACAGGGCCAAATAACGTTGTTAGCTAGCACTAGAATTTGTGACTTTGGTGGATAACCGCTCTCTTCTCCA